TGGGGACTTCTTTGGATTCAAAACCTCTTTAAAAAAACAGTAGACTTATTCTGTTGATTTACGGAATTGATCAGTGAGCCAGACTTTCCAGAATTGTTTTCCCATGCCATACCGACATAGGTTCTTCAAGTTACTCCTGTCCATTACCCTCCTTATTTCAGATGAGAAAGCTGTACCTGGCTTGCTCATTCATGACCTCTGGAGGCAGCACAGGTATGGTTTTTGTGTCCCATGGGAAAGCTTAATTAATCTGTTAGTAGTCTTTATATGTTATTTTTTTATTAAACTGGTATAAGTATTTAAAAACTGAGTATTTTCCAGTATTCCAATATGGTTAGAGATTTTTGGGGGGAGATAATATAAGTTCATAAACTGCTTTTTTCAAAACAGTGGCAATACTTGACTTTTTTTTTTTAAAAGTAAACATAGATTTGTGTGTAAGTTTTTCTTTCAGTTTATCTCTCATATCAGAAGCCCAGTATTGTATGTGGTGTAATTAGTGTGCCAGGTATCAAAAAACTTGGATTTAAAATTTTAGATCTGTTTCTAACTAATTAGCAGTGTATCATTAGGAAATCCCTTAATTTTTCTAGCTGTCATATATATTCCTTGTCTGTTGAATGAGAAGGTTGATTGGGATGTATGATCTCTGAGATTATTTACACATTACTTTCAGTGATTCTATGGGCTTTTTTCTCACCATTTTAAAATTTAATATTCACTTAGGGGCATTAAAATGGATTTTTGGTTTTTAGCATGCTACAGGCACAAAATGTTTTACATAGCTTTCTTCTTAACTCTTTATAAAACTATTCATGTAAAAATATAAATCAAGATGGAGTAATTATAGATTCATTATTTTACAGTATGTGACTCAAAGGATTATAAAGCACAACGAAAAGACATTCTCCTAAAAAGGGCAGCTATGTACAGTACTGTGGTCAAAATAAAATGTAAACACACAGTCATGTAATTTTGAATTAAGCCAAATTCTAGGAAAGTTAGTCAAGTTGACAAAGTTTGATTTTAGTTTAGTTATGTGATCACCTTTGATGATCTTTTGGTTGGTAGTTAAGGGATTTTCTTACTTTAATATTGGCTTAAGAAAAATATGATTTGATAGTTTCTCACCAAAAGGAAGTGTATTTCAAAACCAAATGTAAATTATAAAGTTATATTAGTTTTTGTTGGGATTGAATTTTTCCTGGCTATGGAAAGCATTTCCTTTCATAGTAGTATGGGTATTGTATGTTTTGCTTAAGTTATTTCTTTTGAAGCAGAGTGCTTTATTTCAAAAAAACTTCACAGTTTTGATAGTGAAGCTTTGTTGGCACTGGCAGGGGAAGAGCAGAATCCTTGTGCTAAAACTGGGTCTGGGTGGGTACTGAGCCACATGCCTGGACCTTCCTCAGAGTCAGGCAAGGCCTTCTCTTCTCACTTACTTTTACTGATATATTTTTGGTTATTATTCTGTTTGTTTGCCAGAATCTAGAAGAGACTCTATTACTTCTTGCATCCTGACACTCTCCCCTTTCATATCTTCTCTTGGCTTGTTTCATTAACCTAGAGTGCTACTTCCTCCTCTCTCTGACTCTTGATTTCCTGCCCAACCACCGATTAAGGTCTGTCCACGAAGACTTCCTTTGCCCTTCTAGCTGGATGT